CCAAATTATAAGTCATTCCAACTTTCTTGAGAGTCAAAGCATCTCAAGTTTAATCAAACTTATATAACAAAATAATAACATTTATAATACCAAATAAGTATCATTAAATCCTTCATTAATTATATTTTCATAGTATACCTATTTGATTTCATAAATATTTGTATTTTTCTCTATAATTTTGGTCAAACTTATGATGCTTCGACTCGTTAAAAAAGTTAGAATGACTTATAATTTAGGATAGAGAGAGTAATAGTAGTTAGCTAGCTACTATTAGCTATGAGCTATTAACCAACTAACTAACTATTAGCAGTTAATGGATAACTAGGACCTGAATGGGGGCGTGGTCGCTAACTCGATACAGAATTCGTAGATGCTTATATCTTGCATGGGCACGTCAAAACAATATCAAGAGATCCCTATTTTTTTCATTTGTTTGTGGTAGAAGGGCCTTTGGTGTCCTCTACTTTAGATTAGATTGCAACCAAATTCTTGCATTTCCTTTTTTGTGTGTCTGCATGTTATGTTCTCTTGTCAAAGGCAGGTAAAATTGTGAGGCCATTTTAGAACCTATTTGGTAGAGCTCTTCCTTTTCTAATTCTTTGTGAGAAGTGGTTCTCTAATAAGTGTTTTTCTAACTGAAAATAGTTTTGTTAGATTCTCTAAGATAATCTATATGTAAAATGTGTGGGATGAGTTAGGAAAGGTTACCCTTTTTCAGCTCCGAACTTTCTAGTTGTAAAACACTGTTTTGTAGAGGTCCTCCTTATTCAGACTAGAAGCTGCTCTTAGAGGTCTGCCAAACAGGCTCTTACAAAGCATGGACTTTAAAAAAAATACTCCAAAGTGAATGAAAGGAAGATGATCATTGTTTTCTTACAACAGTTGGGATGGAAACCAATCTTTGTAAGTTGAAGAAAAACAAACTAGGTATAACTAAGTTGGCTAGGTTTTCTATGGCGGAACCAGAACCTGTCCCATCCATTTTTTTCGCGAACGTGCAATTGTGCCCGTATTTATTAAGGGGAATGGTGACAAGTACAGTTTGTCATGTGAGTGACAAGCCAAACTGATTGCCCCCAACCAACTACACCAAAGCTCACATGCTAAGATCTATTACATGGTTGACAATTGAGCGATGAAGGAACACAAATGGCTATTTATTTATGAAGTGGTGAACGGTGTGCAACTAGACTCATGATGCTACTTCATCAATCTCAAGATCTACCGGTTCAGTTTCTCAGACATTCATTGGTGTGAGTATATGGGTGTATGCATGTCTCTCAAGTTAAAGGGGCAAAAAAACAGTTGTATGTTTTGAACTTCAATTTTATTTCCATATGGTATACAAATTTAATATACTTTTCTAAGAATTTGTCTTGGTGCATATCTATTTCTTAGCTTCCAGCTTTCTCTTGTCATCAAAAGAAATCGCACAATTATTGGTTGCAAAATTATCCACGAGGCAGGCCGCGCCGCCTATAAAACCCGGCGCCGGCCGCCAGCCGTTGGCCGCATCCACCGGTGAGTTGTGACTTGTGAGCAGAGCAGACCACTCCCCCCCTCCTCCTCTCCTGGCCTCGTGTCTGTCGGGGCCTCCGTCTCGGCTTGTCTTGTCCCCACCAATCCACAGCTCGCTCGCTCCCACCAAACCCACACCTGACACCCGCACAATGGCGTCGGCGTCCAAGGAGGAGGTGATCAGGAAGCTCAACGTCCGCGTGGTGCGGGGCAACAACCTGGCCATCGCCGACCCGCTCACCCACACCAGCGACCCCTACGTCGTCCTCCAGTACGGCGCCCAGGTCCATGTCCATCCCGCTCCGCTCGCCTTCTCCCTCTTCCTCTGCCATCTGGGCTCCTTTCTCCCCACAGGCCACAGCATTGCCTGGCTGGATCTCCCGTGATCGACGGGGCCCCGTTTGCAGTTGACGACACGTGCGTGGTCCACGGTCAGCGCCGCGGCTTGAGGGAGGATCGGATGTCGGGATTATTGTCGATCTTCCCCGATCTCCTAGTCCTAGGTGCTCGTCTGTCTCTGTCGTCTTCTATCAGTCTATGGGCTGCGAATCTGCCCGTGTTGCCTTCCCATCTTAGGATCCTGTTACCGTGCTACGTTCGCTGGTCTGTGGATTGGATGGCGAGTGGTCCATTCCATGGGCTTACCCGACCAGCAGCCGTTGACCTCGACGCCGGGATGTTGTACTGCTTTTCAACGACGACTGAAACGGGGATGAAAATCCTGGCAATGAACTGCAGTGCTAGCTTTCTCATGAACTTGCTTAACCAATGCAACAGCCAGTAGCTGTGTCCTCCGAATCCGACAGGGCTGTACTGCACTTTGGGGAATGTTGAACTGAGGGGCAGAGCACCACGCCACGTAACAACTTCACCTTGAATGAAATAAGAAATAATAACTGCTGATAACATTTCTTCTGAACTACGGACTGATCCTGCACAAGTTTGCGAAACGAGAATATGAATTGAACCTGTACTTTAGCAGTATCTCTGTGATCTGCATAATAATTCCAGGACCAAATTAGTATATTACGTACTGAAATTACTTACTAGTGTTTTATTTGCCTGGGGCAATTCAAGATATTTTACTAACATGGCTTTTTCTTAGCGTTACCCCTAGGCTGACGATTTTCAATGTATATATCAATTATATAGTTTTAAGTTTCTGTATGATTGTGGCTTGTGTGGTGTCAAGTCAACCACTTATGTCGACTGTTGCTGAATTGCACTATTGCCAACTGAATACATAATAGAATGCGCCACTAAAGAGTTTTGCAGGATTTTGAAAGCTATTTTTGTATTTTATCCAGTTGACTTCTGTTCAAACGTCATGGATGCCCATTGAATTTATGGCTTCCTGTTCTTGATGTTTGCGTCATGGAAGTTTTCTTTTGCTGTTGTTACAGAAGGTGAAGACTAGTGTCCAGAAGAAGAATCCCAATCCAGTATGGAACGAAGTACTGCAGCTCTCAGTGACAAATGCTACAAAGCCAGTGCACCTTGTAAGTTTGCTGTCTCAATTGGTTCATCATGTTTGCTATTGGAAAAATATATAGATATAGATTATGGAAATATAAGTATACAACTATATGATGGTTAGAAATATGAAATCAACATTTTTTAACCTGAAAACAATTTCTTCTTGGCAGAAATATGAATGATATGGAACCATGTCTGCCATAGGTCCACTCATATTGCTGCAAATATGAACAAATTGACCACATATGTTTCTAACTATATATTATGCAATAACCAGGAAAAATGATCCTTGATTTCTGAATTGCTAATATCACGCAGGAAGTTTTTGATGAAGACAAGTTCACAGCAGATGACAGCATGGGTGTTGCTGAGATCAACATTACTGACATCTATGATGCTGCAAAGCTGGATCTGAAGCATGCCACTGATGGAACTAGGATCAAGACAATCTACCCAGTCGGTGTAAACTACCTTGGTGGCGAGAGCCATGTTCAGTGGAAGGATGGCAAGGTGGTCCAGGACTTGATTCTGAAGCTGAAGAAGGTCGAGAGTGGCCTGATTGTGGTGCAGCTGGAGTGGGTTCATGTTCCTGGTGTGAAGCTGTGAGGCCTGTCTGAATGAGGGTTGCGGTCGTTGCTTTGATGGAGCCGCTGCAGTTGTAGTTGGTCGTCCCTGCTTTGAGTGTTTCGTTGTAAACTATATCCTGAACGTGGTGATTTCCGGTGTATGAGTGATGTTTGAGTGTTGGTTTGAGTGTGATGTTTTATTGTACTTCCTGGTGACATGATGTGGGTGTGACTGTGAAAGCTTGTGGCGCACCAATAAGAAACGCCCTGTCAACACAGGTGGAGTGAGATGTAAATTAAGAACTTAGAACTTAAATATTGAAGTGATTGGGCGTTAATTGCTTTCACTTTGTTCCTGCAAAGTTTCTCTGTTAGCTCCTATCAGATTTTATTGTAGGGAAGCAAGAACATTTTTTTGACCCTGCCAAGGGATGCCTGCGTCCGGGCTAATTTTCTTCTTCTGTCATTTCTAGAAATACCTAATCTTTCATACGTTTCTAGGTCAAGCGACGAGTGTTTTCTCAGTTCTATCTCTAATATTAAAGAGCCTAATTTTCTTTTCCGTCGCTTCTAGAAACTCTTGTCAAACGAGGAGCGTTTCGTCAGTTCTATCCTTAATATTAAAGAGCCTAATTTTCTTTTCCGTCACTTCTAAAAACACCTGATCTTCCGTGTGTTCCTGTAGTTGAGTACCTTCAAAGGACGTGAATCGGCTTTGAGGACGTGTTGTTTGGATTGAAGCCTGACAGGCATTTGGGTGGCCAGTCCTTGCCCTAGGCATCCAAAATCAGATACTTGGGATCGATATCTGCCCAGGTGAGTTTTCTCAGCCTCCAACCAAACACACCCTTGGAATGCTTTTAGAACTTTCGCATTTTTAAGGAACAATGCTTGACATCTATATTTGGCCCATGTAAGTTTTCTCAGCCTCCAACCAAGCCCTTGGGATGCTTCAGAACTTACCGCATTTGAGGAACATCTGCATTTTTTATGTACAAACAAGAGGATGGAAAACGGCTGCTGTTGTGTTTGGGCTTATTAAAAGGCCATCCTGTACATACAATTATTTCATCATAATTCATACGCAGAGCTCCTGCCGAATTTGTTGTTTGCTAGAAGAGCATAACTAATAAGGCTCGACAGCAACACCCAAAAAAAAAAAAAGCGGCGAAATCATTCGTTGCAATCAAGCTAGATTTACCAGAATAACCTAAAATAATAAGATCTCAGTTGTTGCATATATTAGCAACTTAGATCACATTCAAAATAGTCAAAGCACGTATATTTGGTGTCTTCGACAGAATGAATCCTTTAGAGCGGATACGTTGAGATATCTATAGTTCCAAGCAAACGAGAGTCTCTATGTCATGGTGATATATAGGGAACACGCTATATAGTTGGTACTAGCGAGAATAAATACTAATCATGAGCTCTCACAAATTACTGAGAGTACTCTGTCTTGGAAGAGCCATTGATTGCGACTTTGGCCTCAATGCAACTCTTGCCTTTGATGAGATAACCCTTTGATGTGTCCTTGAAATCCTCCAGCGAGATGAACTTATTCCATCCCCAGCAAGGATACTGGTTTGAGAACTGGCACCTGCCTGCATTTCCCAATAAAAATAAGTTAAGAATGTGTGATGATAATTTAGCATACAGACTAACCAGTCTATCAAGCAAATTTCTGCTAAAATGCGAACCTGGTAATTTCTTGTCCTTGCTGTTTTCCTGGTCTTTGATGGATAAAGTAAATTCGACCAGGTTCCCAGAGTCTTTGGGGACATCATTTGTCTTCTTCATTTTCAGAAATAAGGACACATCGTTACCATCGCAAGATGGATACATAGTGATAGACCTGCAATTGGTATAGAAGCATTCTTAGCACTGTAAGAAAGTTCAGATTATGCTATCAACATTCAGTCATGTATACATGTCAAGTATTGAAGCTGAAAAGATTATCACCATGTGTATCCACCGATTTCGAACTCTGGTGAGTAGGATCGGTTCTTCGGAGCAAAGAAATCCTCAATTTTCAAATCCTCAATTTTCCAAGTGTAAACTTTGGCCTCGTTGAAGACGTTCATCTTCCTTACAAACAGTGTTTCTAACGCCGTGTTGGCTTTGATAGTGGCAACTTTGATGAACTCAATACCAAATATGCAACTGTTGTTGACAAGAAATCCAGAGGACTGTTTGTTTAGTGTTTTCAAGGGTAACATGCATGAGATGCCAGAGCTCGTACTTGCAGTCTGGAAGCTGTGGTTAACTGCACAATAAAAAATCCAAGCATATATATTTTCTCAGAAAATGGTATTTAATTACCATAACAAATTTGAAGCAAAATGGGAGCACATTGTTTCCAGAGAAAAACTAAATGGAGACAAAAAACCAAATAGAAGGTTTTGTAAAAAAAGCAAGCATTAAAGATTTTAAGTTATAGCTAGCAGTTACAAATGAGCATTTGGCCCAATGGGTATACAACTATAATCAATTCTCAGAGAAAAAAAAACATTAAAGTTATATCTGACAGCGTAACTAGGAATATATAGTTTGCTACTTTACCTAGCTGCTTCTTGTGCTTTCCATTGGACTGATCATATATCATGAACTTGAAAGATGCCTCAACGATAGTGTCAAGTATCACTGAACCCTGCGGCAGTTCAAGCCTGAGAGAGACATACTCCTCCTTACCAATGATCTTTTTGTACTTTGGATTCAGTTTCAGATACCTGCAAATGAGTCAAAACAGAGCACTGAGATCCTGTTCATGACATGAATGACTGCTGGCCATGTTTTGTATTTTGAAAGTTCTTACATAAACCTATGAAAACCATTTGCATGTTAGGGGAGATGTACAAAGAAGCCATTTCATTATTTGCTAGGCTTCTGAAGTCATTCAGTTTTTCATGCAGGATATATACAAACCAAAGCCTACCCTAACTTGCTTGGGACTGAAAGGCTATGTTGTTGTTGTATATATACAAACCAAGTCAACATTGGAATAGTTACCCCTCAAAGAAACATTGAATACTTCTGACTGTAAGAAGGAAGCAATTTAACCAGAGAAACAAAAATAGCAACAGTAGTAACGATACCATTTTACGCCCATGATCTCAAATACGTTGGAGTATGTCCATCCTTGATCCTTGTCCAGAAGGGAGGAAAAGCCATCAATGATCCACTTGAAGGTTGTCTGCTCCACTGGAAGAGGTGTGGCATTGGACGTCAAGTCCAGACCTGGGTTTGATCCGCCTGAAAACAATGAGGGGCAATAATAAAAAAGATCAGAACAAGAGCAAAAACCAGCAGTGAAATCTAGAAAGAAAAAAAAAATGCGAGATGAAGTGTATGTTGCTCGTGATGACCCGTAGCAAGTATGCTGAATAACGTGTTAGTACAACAATGATTAACAAAATGGTCTAGCGCATTGAGCAGTAAACTTTAAGAAGAAAATCCGTACCAGCACCTTTGACGCAAGAGTTGCCCATTGCTCAACCGCTCCCTCTTCCCAGGAATCCTCTGCAATTGAGATCAATCCTCATGCCATAAGGAAATAACGAAGGCTGTGGGGTTAAGATGGAGAAATCTTGCATATTAGCAGGAAACAACAACTCAAGGGTTTCAATTTCAAAGAACGGCTAAACCCCGCTACACGAACAGGTAGATCAAAAAGAAGCCCCCGAACACTACTAATGAACAATCTATTCATCAAGAAAACTAACAACTCGCATCCGCAAAGCCCGAAACCCCTTTAAAATCCACGAGAAATCCAGGAACTCTGCAACCGTAAGATTCTCTAAATGTTTTCCGGCCTATTCCTTCCACTCCCCTGCGCACTTACAGCACACGATCGCCGGCGCCGTACACACGCTACGAAAAAGGAACACGCTTTCCTACGGATCGGGAGATTAGGAACACTGGAAGAGGCACGACAAGAAGATCGAGAGACAAAGCTCACCTCGAGATGCTTTCTCGGCGGAGATCCGAGGCTTCGAGCAAACCCTCACCGGGTGGGGTTTTCTACGGGCCTGCAGAAGTGCAGATGGGGTTTTCTAGAGAGCTGCGCAAGGGCGAGGGGAAGCCGGGGGCTGCGCGAAGGGAGGAGGGTTTTGTGCACACGAGGAGGGGATGCCTCATGCCTCTCCAGGAAACAGAAGTTCGGTGCAAAATTCACGGGTTGTTTCGGTGTTTACGGGAGGTTGCTAAACTTAATTGATGGTGTCATCTATATCTTTTAACTCTGAGAGTATCTCCCAGAGCTTTCTAAATCTTACACTATAAATTATCATTTATTGAGTCATTTGTATAAAAATAGCGTTTATATCTTTTTATCCACCAACAGTTTTTCTATATCTCATAACCACGAGAGCTATTCTCGTCTTCTATTTTTGGCTAGCGAAAAATGCAGAATAGAAGATGGCTATATTTAGATAACCATTTAGAAAAGATGTTGGAAGGTATTTTCTGACCAAAATCTCTATTGCTAGTATTTAGAAACGATATATAGAGTCTTTTGAAGTTGCTCTTACTAGCAAACATATCCGTGTGTTGCAACGGGATGTACAAATTATTACATGGTCATTTGGACGACTTCAGTTTAGAGAACCATTAATAATCACATCATGGGTTAGGATTCATCTTGGAACTCGGTTCCTCGACAAACGTTAGCCACTCTAACTTACATGAGCACGAGAGATTTAAAGACTTATTATCTAACGATTACATTATATGTTCATATTCATTTTAGATTGTATACTTCGCACCGCATCATGTTTAGCTAGTTAGATGTGCTGATCTAACTTGTACAAACATGTGAGAAAGTGATCTATGCTTTATAAATGATATATAAATTTAATTTATTTTTGGATAGATCGAAACATGCAGCCTGTTCGGCGGCTGGTGCTGATACGATCGTGGATTATTACTGCTGGCTGATTTTGTGTGAGAGAAAAATACTGTTCTGACTTATAATCCACGATCGTTTACGACCAAACGAATAGGTTGATGGTCAACTGTTCTAAATGGATGTAGTCAGATGGACAAGACAAAAATTTAATTTAACCCATATATAAGTTTTACGTTGAGTTTGTTTGGATTAACCTGTTGTCCAGGACGACCATACGAACTCGCGTCAGTTGTAGATTAGAGTGAAACCGAGTAGTTTTCATGTGCACGTTTTTTTGAAAGCAAATAAAACTGAAGACGAACGCGGGATCATGCATGGTGGAGATATGATAAAATAAAAAAAAGTATGGCTTCGTTTAATTTATATTTGTCTAATTTCTATTTTTATCTTTTTCTATTTACATTTGGATTCCTATTCAAGCTACGCAGGACTATTTGCCCAATTTGTATTTTTATCCTTTTCTATTTAGATTTGGATTCTTTTTTAGGACAAAAAGCCTTGCATGTTAGATAATATCAAATAGTCTATTTGGATTAGAATTCCAATTCAGATTATCTCAAGAAGTTCCGCCAGACAAGATAGTTTCCACATTCAGAATTAGTTAGGGGAGGGCCCGAAAAAAAAAGGGTGGAGGAAAATTTTACGTCTTTAATATTAGGCATAGTTTATATATATTATAGGTATATAGATAGACGTGTTTGTGTCTTACAACGGAACCCAATAATCTTAGAATCGGACTCCATATCGATTTAGACGCGAGCTATTCTAACTCGTATGAGCACATGTCATATATATAAGTTTGGACGGAAGAAACTCTACATTGTCCGGTACTTAGAAGGAGACGGACAAAAAAATGGATGGACAAAAAAAATTAGCTGAAATTTTGATGTTTAGATTAGAATTTTGATATTTAGATTAAAATTGCCTCATTATTATTATATATTATTATAGATTATATAGATTAGAATTTTGATATTTACGTCCTATATATACGGCAGTGTCACTCTGTCCTTAACTCTCAAATTTCAATGTTTGGATCCTAAATTCTTGTACAATTGTACAATGATATAATGATATAATCTACTATTCTAAGTTTCAGGACTTGCATGTCCCGCGTAATTAATAACCACATCAGCGTCATCTATGACGTGAAAGTTTGGAACCTAGATAACACGGTTGTACAAGTTTAGGATCCCAGAAATCGAAATCTAAGAGTTGAAGACTCAAGTGACACCGTGGTATAAGTTTGGGGATTCAAGTATTAAAAATTGAGGGTTAGAGATCTAGGGTCAAACAAAATCAGGTGTGATAGTCTTTTTGGAGAAAATTCTTTGTATGAAACCTTTGATATGCTTTCCTACATAGTTGGCTTTGAGAAGTTTTTTCTCTATGTGATAGCATGTTTATTATTAATGGCTTATTTGATGCTATGCATCGACATTTGTACTGTCAGATGCAACATAAGTTGTATATAAATCACCTTTCAATTCTTGATTTTCTATTTGTGACCATTGATGATGAGATCGATGAGATGGAGTTGCTCTCGTTGGGAGTGTTCAAGAGGTCGCCTGCTGATTAAATCGACGCCTGCAACAACGACTTCATCATGACAATCACTAAAATCATCACAGGTAGCAAGATTTTGACCAAAAATCATCTAATTTTGTTGGTAGATTAATCTTAGTTAAAACTAAAGAATTAGATTTAAAGAATGGTTGGAGACAGAGATAGGTTTCCTCTCTTTGTCACCAATAAACTCACCGAGGAGGAAGAAAGAAAGAGACCCTAGATGACAACGGTGACGAGGAGGATGAAAGGACGGTACTATGTAGTTACCGAGTTCCAAATCTTTTATCTTTATCTATACTCTATATCTATATCTATATCTATATCTATCTGTCTATCTATATCTATATATATATCTATATCTATATCTATATTATTACTATAAAAGAGCGAAAGAATTGGAAATACATTTTCACCTAAAATTTTCTTACCCACCTTACATGAGAGCCATCCTCGGGTCTTTAAATCTAATGGTGTAAATTAATTTTACTGTAGTCCATAGCGAAAGAATTGAAAATATCTTTTCACCTAAAGTTTTCTTACCCACCTTACATGAGAGCCATCGGATGACTGGGGTCTTTAAATCCAATGGTGTAAATTAATCTTACTGTAGTTTGTAAGATTATCTTACGCGTTCCTGCCACGCTCGACACCGTCCGTCGAAGAATTTTATTCACCGAAATTTTTTCTTACCCGCTCCTGTACCCACGGAGGCACCTCAACATCTCAACTACGCCTTCGATTCCCATCCTTCTCACCTCTCCAATAGTCCAATTCTTGACTCTTCTGAGTTCCGAGACACCGGGTTGGGGAGGAAGAGGAGAAGGGCAGGCCGGCATCGCCGGCGCCCACGGAGGACACGACGGTGGGTACAGCAGTGACGAGGTCGTGTCGTCGCAGCCACCGAAGTTGCAAAGGTACGAATCTCTGGTGCCCCTCCATCACCATCTGTTTTGGATCATGTCGTGTTCCTGATCCCCTCTTGATCTGTCGGTCCTCCTTTTGCCTACCAAAATCTAATTGCTCTCTTCTGATTTGCGTGCTGCAGTTGCAGGTCAATGGGGCTGGGCACCGGCACCTCTGTCATCTCTGTTAGATTGATCTCTAATCTCAAACTGGGCCCAACGGCCCAGTTGGGCCTTTGATCCGCGCTCTGATCGGGGACGCCCAGCCCACTATGGCTAGAGGGCCCCTGTCATACTACGCAATAAATAGAGGTGGGGGCTGGCGGCTCTAAGTACGAGGTTCGCCTGAGCC